TAGCTATATCTTGTCACTTACATTGAATTGTGGTTGTTCTTTATGATAGGCATCTATATTGATTTTTTGTCATTTTTGAGATTCTTTTAACTACGCCTTCATTATTGCATGTAGCTCTGATTAACAATTTATCAAATCTTCTACTATAAAATTATTAACTTTTGATAAGTTAAAATCATCAAATTATGAACGATAACCAAAGTTGGCATAGAAAGATGTTTTTTGAGTAGAATAATGTATCAAATTATTATATACAAATTGTGTCAATGGCAAAACAGTTGTCCAATCAATTTGCTGATATTTGATGGTATACCTCAAATACTACTTCAAAACTTGATTCACCCATTGACATATTACGTATTGTCTTACTTGAGAATACATCGGGCACCTAGCTATAGAAGGTGAGGTTGTGTTTCACAAATATTCAAAAAATCAAATCAATTCATCTCCTTCTTTGATGCAAACAAAGTTGTATACTTCTTGTAGATCTATTTTTATATTGATCTTTTTTTGATTTAATTGACCAAAAAGTCTTAAAATTAAAAATATATGATATTTATTTCAAATAATAATCTTATTGAATCATCAATAGTCTACATACATCTAAAAAGATTTGTCCTTTTTTTTTCAAAAAAGATAGGAGCTTCAACATGAGATTTAGAATAGTGTATGAAGTTCTTAGCCAAATTCTTATTTATGTACTCCTTAAGTGCAATCAATTCATTTTGTGATAGGCCATAGATTGATTGAAATAGTGGTTGAATTCTTTCTTGAAGATTGATGATACAATCATAAAGACAATGCTTTAGAAGAATATTTGTATTTTTTTTTTTTCTAAAATAACTTGATAATCTTGATAATCTTGATATTGACTTAGAATGCCACTTGAAATATTTTCTTCTCTAAAAATAGATATAGCATGTATAGCAAAAGTTGACTCTTCTTTTACAACATATATGAAAGCTTTCACATCTGTCAATAATGGTTTGAATGTATGAATCTAATGGATTTCTAATTTTTTAGTAAAATCTTGGATTAAACTATGGAAAAAATCAAGATTATGAGAAATTTAGTCTATTTGATGTTATATTTTTTTAGCCATGGTAATGCTAAAATAATTGAATTAGAAGGAGATCTAATGATATTAAATATTATTAAACTATTATAACCTTTAGTTATTACATGTAAAGGAAAAATTTCATATGTAACATCTTCAAAAGACAACAAATGACCATCTATTACTTCTACATGTACACGTTTGATTTTCTTAAGTAGGAATATATTTTATTTTTTGACAAAGTCTTTATTTATAAAATAGGTGAGGCTCGTGAATCTAACAAGGCTAAGAATTTTTGATTTTTCGGTTCTAAAACAATTTCTATTATAAAACAAGGTGAAAGATCTGAGAACATAATATGACCTTTATTAGGTATTATACAAGATTTTTGCTACATGATCCCTATTGCAATTGAAGAAATTTATTTTTTCACACCTCATCTTCTTTGGCAACCATATTCTTCATTTTATAAATGTATTTTTTTTTTGGGTGATGTTGAACAATGTACTTGGATTTTCCATAATATAGGTACAAATCTTTTTGATGATATCAAAACTTTTCTTGCTCAATAAATGGTTTAAAATGTACTGTTTTAATTTGCATATGTTTTGACCTAGATGAGTAAGCTTCAAAAAACTTAGAAGGTGTGACTATGGCTTGATTTTTATTTCTTCAATTAATTCTTTATTTTAGGCAACTTTAAAAGAAGTGATTGTCACATGCAATGGCTTAAGCAATAAATTACTCTAATGAATTTGCTCTCAACATTGTCAACAATAAATCTTTGACATTATCTTTTAATCCATATCAAAACTTATTGATAAAGGCTTTGTCATTCCAATCCATATTGTAAACAAGATTTTAGAATTTAGCAGTATATATGGTATCTGAACATGATTCTTATTGTAGCAATATGAGCTTAGTCTCTATTATCTTTTCTTAATCACCTTCTCCAAATGTAGCTTTAAATACTTCAAAGATTGAATTCAAATTATAGAATAGTTATAAATCTTTTTGCATCAAAGGTACAAATTAAGAAAAAAAAAAAAAAATTAAAAATGTTCTAATAAATCTAATTTAAGTAAATCCATCAACATATAGAAAATGATGGAATGTTGGATAGAGCTTTACTTGTCATACAAATCCTCAAAGTTTTGATCTTATTCCATTAAACTTTTCTAGCATACTTGTCCGAGCTTCCTTTATACTTGTAGTAATAAGACTTTTTTGATTTAATTATGAACTTACATTGCTTGTTTTTCTTAATTGCACAACTTCTTGATACAAATTTAAACTTCATTGTTGGTTTCTTCTATGGACGTAGGAATAGTGCCTCTATGATTTCTATTAAAAATAAGCAAGATTTCTACTCTTAGAGTATTAAAAAGCTTGTGAAGTTCTGCAATAGTTACAAATCTATGCTTACTTGTGCTTAGAGTAGTATCTATAATCTTTCTTTCTATAGATAATTTAGACAAATTCAAAAAATTAAAATAAAGAAAGGTAATCTGCAACCTCTAATATCAAATGAAAATTTTCACAAAGAAAGATAATCCACTTTTTTTAAAAAAAAATATCACTCTTAGAGAACTAAAATGTTTGTTTAAAGGTGGATAGTTTAGAACCTTTAAAAGATAATAATAGAAGTGGAGTAATCTACTCACTTCTAAAATAAGATAAGAACAATAAGTTAGTACTCTTGTCAAACTATCAAGGATATAAATCTCAAAAAAAAATCCTTAATATACTCTTTTGTCAATCAAAAGAACTAGAAAGTTACTCAAAGATTATGTAGTATTAAACTAGAATGCCTATTGCCAAAGAAAAGAAGACTAAAAAGTCTTGAAATAAGACTAAGGACTAGAAAAGCGTTGACAAGACTAGAGAAGGCTTCACTCTTGCCTCTATATATACTTTCTAACTACCAGCTATGTGATAATATTCTATAGAACTTCCAACACGTATTGACTTTGTTAGACACATGACTTAACTTACAAGGCAAATATCTATATGTGTGCTATGTAGCTAGCTTGTTCTACAAGCTATTAATATAAGTGTCACTTGGCTAACTTGTTGACGAAGTTTTTAGCTAATTAACTACAAACACTTGTAAAGTCTAAATAATATCTGTGAAGCTTTTGAAAAGCTTTTTTAATAGATATTATGAAATTAATCTACTTTTATTTACTTCTACTTAATCATATAGGTAACTATTAGAAAAAATATATATATCTATCACAATTCTTTAATTTTAATTTTAATTTTATTTAATTTTATATTTATTAATAATAATATATCTTAGAATTGATTATGTGATTAGATATCTTTATTTATTTTATAATACTAAATATTTAAATATTATTAAATTTAAGTTGATATTATTGCAAATACACAAATAACTAGGTAAATAAATAGATAGATTGATAGATAAATGGATGAATAGATAGATTGATAGATGAATTAGTAGATATATCAACAGATAGATAGATAGATAGATAGATTAATTGATTGATTTACAAATGGATTACATGGTTGATAGATGGTTTTTAGAAAATTAGATAGATAGTTGGTTGATAGAAGGGATTTTTTTTTTGTCTTGTTTTATACACATTTTTTATTTGGTGCTTGACATTGTTAGTATTACTATTTATTTATATGAATCATATAATATCTAAGGTTGATTTAATTATAAATCTAATGTGTATGAGTTTTTATCTTTCTTTAATATCATTGATGTTATATGTTTGTTAAATATTTTGTATGATTTAAACTTATAATTTAGTTTTTTCTAAATATACACATACACATACAAACATATATATATATATATATATATATATATATAGTATAATTTTTAATTAAGAAATAATAATAAAACATTTTTTTTTTTTTTTTTTTTTTTTTTAAATTAACTGTAAAGGACACATAGTTATAAAAAAGTTTTTGATATTGCTGATATTAAGATAAGAAAATCGATGTTGTTTTGAAATCCTTCTTGTTTTTTTTTAAAAAAAAAAAATTATAGATGATATAATTGATAAATTATAGATGATATGATTTTTGATATTTATAATATTTTAAAGTTTTTTTTTATGTAAATCAATAGAAATCAAATATTAACATTATAATTTATTATTCCTTGTGTATATATCTTATTTAGTAAATCAGATCAAATTTTGTATAAAACCATAATATTTGAATTTAAAATATAATTGTGGTGCTCATCATGTGGTTAGAAATAATATTACAAAATTCTAGTTTTTAATTATAATTCTAGAATTATTCAATAGAATTAGAAATTGCTATTTCTCTACAAATATTAGTTGTATCATTAAAGTAATATGTATTGGTGTTTAATAATATAAAGAGTTTTTGTTTATTATTTCTTGTATTGCAACAAATATTAACATGCATGTTTTTTTTTTTTAAATTATATAAGAAAAAATATCTAATAAATAAAGGACAATATCATATAGAAAAAAAGCAAATTTTAAACTATATTTTTTACATTCAATGTAATAATTGGAAGTAAAACTTATTTACTTGATTACACGAGTGTTAACTAATGTCAGAAACTGAGGCAACCTTAACTTGGGCAATTGACATTAGATTTTACTCTAAGTATTAAGATTTAGAAAGGAATAAACAAACCAATTGCAGCCAATTGCAGACAAAGCTCCTATGATATGTTTAGACATGTGTGCATTGTTAAATTGTTCAAATAAGTATTATGTTTTAGTTGCATAGGCTTGCAAACATTCACATTACCTTCAGTAGAATGCTAAATTGACAACTACATAATTTATTTAAATTTTCAAAGAATTCCAAAACTGTGGTAACAATTACCAACACTCCATAAAATTAATGGACCTTTAAGAACTTCAAGATTTATTCTTCACATCGCAAGTTAAACAAAGATACATCTTATGGGAAGAAGTGCAAGGAGTTTGGTATGGAACATCAATTGATGTTGTGGTTAATAGATGAAGTATTTAACAAAAATGGGGCAGAAATGCTCAGCTCTAGACCGAGGTTTAGAGAGTTTATTTCCCAGGCCTAGGGGAGGAGTGCTTTGAATTCAAAATTTACCTGCTATGTGAAGCAAGAACAATTCAGCTATCTCACAAACCTGAGCTGGTGATATAGTCTTAGTTCTTACCTGCCTACTAGAGAAGAAACGTGTAGTCTACTATACAGCACAGAAGGTGCACGTCGATTCGAATGGCATTACGAATTCGTCAACTTTGGTTGGGTGTCCTTCAGCAGACCAACAATCTGCTGCATCGTTGGCCGCTTGGAAGGAAGCTCCGCTGTGCAGAGGTAACCTATTCGCAGGGTCTCCAACATCTCATTCTCAACTCCAGTACAGGCCAACTTGGGGTCTAGACATTTGTAAGCCCGCTTCTCTCGCATCAAAGAGCGAACCCAGCCCACCAGATGCCCACTAAGGCTGTCATGGAAGTGTCCTATTGGTCTCTTCCCTGTCACCAATTCCAACAGCACCACACCAAAACTGTACACATCACCACGCGTAGTGGCCTTCCACGCCTGCCCGTATTCTGGAGGTAGGTATCCTGGAGCTCCACATATAGCAGGAGTCTCCAAAAGATTTTCAGAAGTGATCAGGGATGCCAGGCCATAATCTGCTAAATGAGGCTCGTAAAGAGAATCCAGCAAAATGTTACTGGAAGTCACATCCCGATGAACCAGTTGTGGAGAGCAATTGTGGTGCAAAAAGGCCAGTGCTCGAGCCACTCCAAGGGCAATGCGGTAACGAACTGGCCAGCTCAAATCATCAATTTTAGTAACACTGTCTGAATGTTCCCAGGTATCCTTCGACCAGTCCTCTGGGTCCTGGTTGCCTGCGCATGGCACTGTTTGTCAACACATCATTAAACAAAATCAGGGACATATGATTCAAACCCCATCAACCTTGATATACATTCAACAAAGAGCAGTGGACAAAAGTCTATGTTTTAGGTACTACCTTGAATAGGATACAGGTCAAATTTTTAATTGAATAGAGCTGTGAATTTACCTTCAGGTAGCTCATGTAGGCGTCTTTGAACATCTCCATTTTCCATGAATTCATACACCAGCAGTCGTTCTCCTCCCACCAAGCAGTAGCCCATAAGAGACAAAAGGTTGGGGTGTCTAATCTTTCCCAATGCCTCGAGTTGTGCTACTTTTTCATACTCATTAGCTGGGCAACCTAAAAATAAAACCTTCACAACTATCTTTAAGCCTCCTGGTAACGCACCTTTGTAGCTGGGACCATAGTGCCCATCGGATATTTGGTTGTCCTTGTGGAAGATAGATGTGGCGCGCAGAAGATCTGCAAATGTGAGGTTTAGGAGAGGCTTCTCGAACATAATTACTGGAATTGAACCGGGGTGAGGAACTTGGACTGCCCACGAGTTTGAATCTGCTTCAAACGTCATTGGAACTTCCGAGAGGTACTTAGAGACCTCTTTAGCTGGCAGTTTCTTGGGTTTCCTTTTGTACAAGAAGAGCGCAATGATAACGAAACTACAGGAGGAAACTATAGTTCCTATTACAATACCAGCAATAGCTCCCACTCTGTGGCGTCTGCGATGAAGATGTAAGTAAATTGGTGTCTCAGGAGACTGACCAGGGCAGGATTTGGTAAGAATTAAACCACAGAGTTCTGGATTGCCTTGAAAAGAAGAACTATTAAAACCTGAACGTGGAACTTCTCCAGTCAAGTTGTTATAAGAAAAATTCAAGTAGCGAAGGGATGGAAGTTCAGTAAGCGTGGATGGGATCGCACCCGTCAGTTTGTTGAAGGACAGGTCCAAATACTCTAAAGTGGTCATATAGAATAGAGATGATGGGATGCTACCATTCAGATGGTTGTGAGAAAGATCTAGACACTGCAATCTATCAAGAGAAGCAGCAAGTAAATCTGGTATGGAGCCTTTAATTTTACATGAGGAGAGATTAAGGTGTAAGATCTTGGCCACTGAGGTGACGTTTAGCAGTGGACCTCCCTCGAAAGAATTCCTACCCAAGCCCAAATACTGCAGGGAACTTGACTCAAAGAAGTTCCATGGAATATTACCACCCAAATGATTTGAAGAAAGCTCCAGCTTTTGCAGTGCTCGAAGCGTAGTGACCTTCTGCGGGATACTGCCATTTAAGTTGTTGTTCTGAAGATCCAACTCCCGTAATTTAGCAGAAAAATCCACTGGTAAAGGCCCTGTAAAGTTATTGCCTGCAAGTCTCACAACTTCCAAGTTTGCGGATGCAAGAAGTCCTTCAGGTATGCTACCATTTAACAAGTTGTTACTGCAATCTAGAAACATTAGTACATGGTTGTCACCATTACCCCATGGTAGTGGTGGAAGTGGACCTGTAAGTCTGTTATTAGCCAGTGAGAGTTGTATTAATTCCGGAAGCTTAGTCAGTGAATCAGGAATACTACCATAAAATCTGTTCGACGAGAAATCAAGGAAACGAAGTGCTCCAAGCTTATCAAAGTGCCCAGGTAACGCTTCAGTCAATAGGTTTCTGCTGAGGTTAAGATATTTCAGCTGGGAAAGATTCTCGTATGCATGATTCACCTCCCCAATCAGCTGATTAGACGAAAGGTCCAGCGTTTGGAGTCGATTTGGCAGACTAAGCATACTTGGAATTCGTCCAGAGAAATTGTTAGAGTGAAGATCCAAAACATTTAAGAACATACTATCAAGCCTCTGAGGTAAGGGTCCAGATAGCATATTCTGTGAGAGGTCCAGGGTTCCCAGCTGAACAAGATTGCTCACCAAATCAGCTAACCCGCCTCCCAGCTTATTGTTGGCAAGCTTGAGATGTGTGAGACTAGACAGATTGAAGATGTCTTCAGGAATTTCCCCTGAAAGAAGATTGTGTGACAGGTCGAGGTTTGTCAATGATGTGAGAGCCCCCAGAGTACCAGGTAATATGGTCCCATTCAACCCGCGGCCACTAAAGTTAAGTGACCATATTTTTGCTTTCTGACCCCGATCGATGCAAGTTATCTCAGGCCATTCACAAGCAGGAACCGTTGTGTTGTAGAGAGCTGTGTAATTCGGTAGAACATTATCAAGAAATCTGAAAAGGGACCTTTCGTCGTTTGTCTCCGCGGACACGCCTAGAAACAGTAGAATAAACAGTAACAAAGTCGTCAGATATTCGATGGGCCCTGTCATGTGCAATTGTCTAAAAGATGCTCGGTGTCTGGACACTTCAATTCCTGCAGCCAGTCTCTTAGGCATCACTTCCTCCCAACAAATTGTTGACCACAACCTCTCCCCCATATTATCCCGGCGGGTCTCTGCATAGAAGTGCTGAAAACCCTTTCACTAGATGCATTCTCCTCTACTGCTGTTCAGCAAAGGATCAGTAAACCTGTACACATCACACAACTTCGCATCAACATGTGTTCATGCAGTTGAAGTTGACAAAAAGTCGGATTCTGCTTTCAGGCAAGGTATTGACCATAGCTAGGGACTGCAAGAGGATAATTGCAACACGAGGCTTTTCACATTTCTGCAACCCAGAAGGAATGGCTAGCAATTTAAGGCTAAGAGCTAGATTGAGGCTGAATCCAATTGGTAAGCTTATGTGTATGTCTACTTTTCGTCTGGCAGCAAGGAATCCATAAAATTTATCTCAATCCGTTCATACTCAATTTTTTAACATCCGAAAGTAGAAGATAAAGTTCTCTTCTTGACGCTGCTTCAATAACTTCAACCCAATTCTGCTACACTAATTTTCTCCCCACAATAGGAAAGCAACTATCTCTAACAGTCTCTCGCATTCAAAGTCCTTCGTCCCAAAATTCTGGAGAAAATCATACTTATACATCAAAGGGAAGACTTAAGATCTAAGTCGACCGAATTCGAAACAGTTATCACTTAACCCCAAACCTGAGCTAAACCGCCAACCGGTCTTCCAGCAGCTGTAAATCTAAACCCCGATGGAACCCCAAGGTCGCCATTTAAGGTGACCACTGCACCAAAAACTACCAACGCGTTCCAAGCTTCAAGTTCACATCGCAAATAATTCGCCAAGATCGAAATCGTGGACTGTTTCTTTCTCACACTAAAGCGCTCGCTCTAAAACCAGGAAGAGATTAAAACAAGCTCACATATTGCAAACAAAAATGCACCATTTCCTCACCTCTATCACAAATACAAAATAACGAAAAAATTTAATCCTAGGCACCATAACCATCCATCGCATGTAATACTAGGTCGTACCTCACAACACCAAATCTGTTTTCCCAAAAATTATCACATACAGATGCAATGTGAGCAACAATGTTGGAAAATCTCGTAGGACTAGCAAGTCCAGTTGGTGTAGCATATACAGCTACAATAGCTGTCACCAAAGACGAGACTAAAATCACCGAAGGAGACAAACTGACCATGAGATGGTTTTTTTGGAGAATTTGACCAGTAATTTCCTAAACCGAATAAATGTGGCTAAAACCAATTCATAGACAGTTGCTGCGTAATAATCTTGAAGATAGACGATCCTTTGTCACGATAGCTAGCATTGTTCATCTGGCTTGGAAAAATTCTGGCATTCCTATGCACCAGAATCAGTGCAATCATCCTTGTGAACATTTCCCTGGAAGCTAAGGGACCAAGCCGGTCCAACAGAGATGGTCGAGATCAACTGGACCAAAACCTAGAACTGTTCTGTGCGTTGAGCGATATGAAGTCGGCATCAACTAGAATTGAAGACTTCTCCGGAAAAGTACCTGCTTAAAATAAAGTTGAGGTTGCATTCACGAAGCATCCTCGAGTGACTCGTACCAATGTATTGTGACTGGATCCCTTGCCTCCCCTGCAAGTTGTTTGAAGTGGAGCTCCCAGAAACACAACCAAAGCATCACTGGAGCAAATCCCAGCCAGGCATTACACCATCGCATTTCAACCAGCTAATAGATCTGCGAATCACAATTCCTCATTTACACTCTTAAAATACCCTGCTCCACTTCGAAACACCTTATATGCTGTAAGACCTCATCTCCAACCTCTCTAATTCATTCCACGCCTCTCATTCCTTCTGCAGCAGCGATGAATCACAACACATGGGGCCACTACCGCAATTTCGCACCACTTGCAGATCCCCTAATACTAACTCTTAAGTTCTCCGAAGCTGATCTAAAGGAGAGCATACAAACGCTCGCTCCCACGGTGCGAAGGAGGCGATCGAGGCCGTAGCCTCAAAACCCCAAGCAGCAGCAGCACCAGGTGAACCAGCCTAAGCTCCACCAGACGGGTCTCGTTCAGCTGCACCCACTCCAACCTGCTACTTACCGCTGCCACAAACATCAGCTCGGTCTGAACCAGCACTGACTACTGCATTACTGGGCCCGCTCCCCGAGATTTTCGTCGCCGAGCCGCAAAGACTTCTACCCGCAGCAGCATCGTATGCTAGTAAGGGCCGGCGTTTTCCACTTGGATGGAACGGCATAGATTTCATTGGAGTCGCATCATACGATGCTAGCAACTGTGACATCCAGTACGCGGATCAAAACCACGTTCTTCAATAACTGAGGGGAACCCTTTTCGGGAACAGCTCTGAGAACCGATAATAGGGACTGAGATCGCCGTGCTGTCTGCCAGTCCATCATACAAATGAATGAGGATGAGAAATATATATTCGTCAGTTCCTTGTTTTGCGTGCCGATCATTGTCCTGTTCCGATAGCGAGGAATTTAGCTCCTTGATTTGTAAAGAGCATTTTTGAAAACACTTGTGGGGTTCTTCTTAATAAAGATCGATAGAAATTGGGTTTTGGGCAGCGCAAGCAATAGTGTAAGATCGACGCAGACCCATGAGTGAGGAGTGTGCATGCGACGACCAAGAGCTGTTTTAGAGGTTGCGCGAAGTATATTTGGTGCTGGTTTTTGTTACGGGGTGGCTGCATTCGGTAAGGCACGACGTCGGTGTTGCTAAATCTGCGTCGGTCATTTTCCACAAATCGAACTTGCATGTGCGATGTGTGCGGTTAATGTACGGTCTAACCGGATTAGTTGCACAGAGATGGCGGTGGGTTTTCGGTGTGGCAGATGGAGCCGAGTAAAAATTTTGAAAGCTTATCTTTTGTGGATTTTTCAGTGGAGCAGCATTATGTTCTCGAAAATTGCACCTGAGTATTACGTGGCAACAAAAGTTGTGGAATTGTAATCTTTATGAGAAGGTTGATCATTGATGACGTTGCGATTATGATTAATTGTTTGATGAAGTTTAATCAAGCCAGTAGAGCTTTAAGACTAAGTAGCACGTGCGTTTGTATGTGTGCGTTTTGATATGAAATAAATAAATTAAATAAAAACGGTACTGTGTATATTTATTTTTCATTGAAAAATAAATGTTTTTTTGTATTATAAATCTTTTTTTTTTGAAGTTCAATTTTTAGTGATGTTATTTTTTCGTAAAATTTAATATTTCAGTATCCATAGAATAAATTAAATTAAATTTTGACCATTTATAACAGTGGTAAAGTTTTTTAAAAGTTTATGTTTTGTAAATTTTTTATCAACAATGATTACTTGAATATGAGTTTTGGTATATTGCTTATTTTACATCAATTAAGATAAAAGTTTCTAAGAATTTTATTTACAAAGTTTAAAATCCAAAAGAACATACTATTTTAAAACTCTATCATTTTAAAAACCATCACAAAAAAGTGATTTGAATTGGATTTATAGTTTGAATAACATCTGTTTTATATTTTGTCTTACGGAACTCATACAATTTCAAAGTAATAAGATTTAATTCTCAAATATGCTTTATGAAGGAAAAATAATAACACTAAAAACAAAACCCTCATTTGTACTACTAAACACATTTTGTTGTTAGGGACATAGTCCTTAGAACTTTTCAGAGACAAGTTTCTAGAACCTTCTAGAAGCAAGTCTCTGGAACCTTCTAGAAGCTTCCTAGTTAGTAGAAGTTGCTTGAGAAGCTTCCTAAATAGGAATATATATTGGAATCGAGGCTGAAGAGTTCTTCAGTCTCGACAACACATCTCTTGGAGCTCTAGCTCACCTCTCTGGTGTTGTTCTTGTATTCATCTGATTAATCTAGTTCTTGCCAATTCTTCTTGAACTTCTTGTTAGATCTCAAGTCTGTATTTTTGTGTCCGTGACAGTTTGTCGAGACTACACTCACCTCAGATATCAGAGCTAGTTTCTTCCTTGTTAGAGTGCGGATTACCCCTCTGCTTGGAAGTGTACTAGCATTTTAGAGGTTGCGGATTACCCTCCTCTAAACTGATACTTCTTTTGTTATAATATTGGAGTCTTATTCTTCTTGGAGAGAGTGGATTACCCCTTTTCTTGAAGCTCTTAAGGCATTTTAGAGGTTGCGGAGTACCCCCCTCTAAACCAATATTGTCTTCTTGTAGAGTCATTTCTGTCCTTCTCTTAGAATGGCCGGAGGCCAAGACATTAGTATGCCGAAAAGTTCGGAGTCCAAGTTGGATGCTATTATGAATGCCCTCGCTACATTATCGCAAAGAACTACAGAGATTGAAGGAGTCGTGGCGAGGCTTCATAATGATGGAGCATCTGCAATGACACAATCTAGGTTGCACCAGCCTCAAACTTCTGCACTTCGAGAAGCAACTTTGCCTCAGGTTCGATAAGCACCGCTGGTTCTACAACATAAGGAGCCCCGAGTTAGCCTTCCAAACAAGTTTGATGGTACGCGTTCCAAGTTTCGAGGATTCGTCAACCAAATCAGGTTGATAACAGTTTTACAGCCCGAACGCTATCCAACTGAGGAGTCACGTCTTGGACTTGTTGGAACCTTACTTATAGGGCAAGGTCTATCATGGTTTGCTCCTTTGTTTGAGAAACGATCGTCCATACTAAACAACTTTGAAACCTTTTTGGAGGCGTTTGTGGAAGCATTTGGTGAACACGATAAGGTTCAATGGACTACAACACAGATCCGGTCACTACGACAAGAGATGCGTTCTACATCGGTCTATGCATCGGACTTCAAGCAATTAGCATGTGACATCAATTGGGACGAAGAAGTGTTGATGAGTCAATTCTATTGGGATTTAAGGGACGATATGAAGGATTTATAGTTAACTCTTCCTGATCCGCAAACGCTCAACGAAGCTATTAGCCAAGCTATGAAGTGCGATAATCGCCTATTCCAACGTTGCCAAGATCAACATTCAAGACAACATACGGTTCGCCACGCCTCAACTATGTCGGCAAGCAGCGTGAATTCACATTCAAAGGTAGAAGACATGTAAATTGATGCAGTATGTGTCAAATCTCTTATTCTAGAAGAAAAAACGCGGAGTATGGAGGAAGGTCTATGCTTGTATTGCGGTGAAGAAGGCCACAAAATTGGAAACTGCCCCAAGAAGCAAAATCGACGTATTATCAAGACTAGGGGCGCGTTTGTACATGAAAATGAGGATGCCCAGCCACAATAGGAACCATGCGGCTGGACAGTGAAATATCGCAACAACAACTAGGTTCCTTTCTTTCCGCTCAACGTGTCCTTTGCTTTATAATCCCTTTGCTTATTGGCCCTCAGAAACTGAGAACCTTAGTATTATTAGATTCAAGAGCATCTGCTTGTTTGTTAGATGAAGAATTTACGAAGCGCCATAAAATTCCTTTAGTACAAAAATCCAAACATGTTCACGTGGAGGTCATAGATGGACGACCTTTATTATCTGGTAGTGTCACCCATGAATCAAAACCTATAGAAGTGACTTTTAAGGGCCATAGTAGTCAGATTATTTTCAATATTATTAGAACTCCATCAAATCTTGTTATTCTTGGTCTTTTTTGGTTGGAAAAGCATAACCCATCCATAGATTGGAGGTTGTGAAAGATGACCTTTCCCACAAAATCACCCAAGAGCAAGCCTAGTAGAAAATTCCGAATAGAGAAATCCTTATTCATTGGAGCAAGAGCGTTTATAAGATCGTCCAAGGAAGGTATACCGTTTGTCATTTATGCGGCTCCAACTACCGGGGAGAAGATCTCGACAGCAAGTATACCAGATTAATATAAGGATTTTAAAGACGTATTTTAAAAGAAGAATGTCGACATGCTACCGAAAAACTGACCATATGATTGCGCTATAGACTTGCAAGAAGGAGCACAACCGTCTTTTGGCCCAATCTACAATCTATTGCAGATAGAGTTGGCGGAATTGTGGAAGTATATCGGTGAGAATCTAGCCAAGAACTTCATCTGTCATTCAAAATCGTCAGCTGGAGCACCCATCTTATTTGTGAAGAAGAAAGATGGCTCGTTGCGGATGTGCGTGGACTATCGAGGCCTCAACAAGATAACAAAGAAGAATTGTTACCCGTTACCCTTGATTTCTGGTCTCTTAGGACAACTTGGACGTACAAGGATCTTTACAAAAATTGATCTAAGGGGAGCTTACAACCTCGTACGAATCAAGGAAGGCGATGAGTGGAAGACAGCGTTTTGTACCAGGCATGGCCATTTTGAGTATAATGTCATACCCTTTGGTCTTTCCAATGCTCCAGCGGTCTTTCAACATATGATGAATGACATTTTTTGAGAGCACCTTGACGATTTTGTTGTCATCTATTTGGATGATATTTTGATATTCTCCAAAAACAAGGAAGAGCATGAAAAGCATGTTCGTTTGGTCTTGGAGAAACTACGCGAGCAAGGACTATATGCCAAGTTGAAGAAGTGTTTATTTCACCAAATAGAGATGGAGTTTTTGGGGTTTGTTGCAACTACGGAAGGGTTGAAGATGGATCCCAAGAAGGTGGAAGCAATCGTGTCTTGGGAGGTTCTGAAGACGGTTAGAGACGTACAATGCTTTCTTGATTTTGCCAACTTCTATCGGATCTTCATCAAGAATTACTCTCAAGTTGCTGTTCCTTTCACTTGGTTGACATGCAAGGATAAGCTGGAATGGGGACCTCTAGCGGAGAAGGCGTTTCAAGCCGTGAAGTCCGCATTTATTACGCCTCCAATCTTGGTACATCCAGACTTTACAAAGGCCTTTTATTTAGAAACTGATGCTTCGGATTTTGCTTTGGGAGTTGTACTTTCACAAATGGGAGAAGACAAGAATCTCCATTCGGTTGCATTCTATTTTCAAAAGTTCTCTACTGCTGAAATCAATTATGAGATCTATGATAAGGAACTTCTTGTTATAGTGGATTCTTTCCAAGAATGGCATCACTTTCTTGAAGGAGCTACACACCCAGTGATCGTATACACAGATCATAAGAATTTGGAGTATTTCATGTCGGCTCGAGTTCTAAATCGACATCAAGCTCGGTGGAGTATGTCGCTATCTAGGTTCAATTTTGTTATCACTTATCGACCTGGAAAGCAGCAAGGACTATCTGATGCCTCATCGAAGAGATCGTATCTTATACCAA